AAAAATATACTTTTACTGTTTTTTTAAACCAAACTGACAAGTTTCTCCAGTAAAATTATTGTGTAATTTAAAGGCATTGAAACACCTGGTTAAATTTAGAAGAGATTAACCACAAACATCTGAAGCTGACTCAGAGAACTCTGTGATTTTATAAAAAATAAAAGTCAAATGTAGACACGTCTTTAAAAGACCTTCCCCCCCACCACCCCGCGCAGCTGCGGTCAGCGCACCTCCACCCCATCCGCAAGATTAATACTGATTTTTTATGCGCAAATTACAGATTTTTGATGATCATTAAACACATCTGAGGGGGTTGACAAGTAAGAACTCTTCAGTCCCGGGCTGGTCGGAGCTGAGCTGCAGGTGGACATGTTCGGTGCCCCTCGCTTTAAAAACAGTCAGCTGATCAGTCGCGGTTTTGTTGCGCTCGTGACGTGAACACACAGGGGAAATGCTGCGAAGTGATTTTAGAAATATAATAAATATAAAATACGACGTAATCCTCGGTGGAAAATAGTCCAGGAAACGCGGGAGGTGTTCACCTGCAGCTGAGTGAAGCTGACCCCCCACCCACAGAGAAAGGATAAAAAGGCAGTAATTATTGATAAGGTAACCATGCTGTGGCTTCACCTGTAGCATTTTCTTTTAAAGAAAGAAAAAGTAGCTTACAAAGCTGTTGCATTGGTGCAACATGATTAAAAGCAGAGCTGCGCGTCTAATTATACAAATGTCTTCCTATCTTTGTGAGGACCACACACAGCGTTCAGCCTCGCTCTGCGCCGTTTTTTCCCCCAAGTTTGGTGAGAGGCGGATATGGAGGGACGCAAAAAATAGCTCTCGACTTGATCTGGCCTTATTTAAATAAAAATGACTACATGCCATGAAATTCTTAGAGGGGCGCCTGTATAATGGTAGGGGAAACACTGCTGGGCTAACATGCACTCTATATGTACACATTTAATATTTGCAGACATGCATCACTTGAGGTGCTCTTATTGGAAGTAACTTTGGCTTCACAGTCTTGTCTGAATACATATCAACATAAAGGCAGGGCAGTGGACTGTATTTATTATTATTATTGGGGTAAAAATATTTAATCACCTAAGAAACTCATGAAGCTGTATGAGTCTGCATGTGTCTGAGTTTTTGGCTAAAACCAAAAAAACCTTGATGGGACTGACACAAAAGTGTAAAGCATGATGAAAACTTTCTGTACAATTTAATGTAAAAAAACAACAACTTTGTCTCTTTGTCTGACTATTTTTGTCAAACCAAACATCCAACTTAAAAAAAAAATCAATAAACCACAGCTGCACTGTAAAAGAAGTCCAATATCCAAAAATCTTGAAGGTTGCATTTTACATTTCGTTTTTCCAGTTTGGCTAACAAAGATCCATTTTTTCCATTGTTTCCTGCTCTGGTAAAAAACCACAGGCCCACCCCAGTGTATGCTCCTATACCAGTCCCTATACTTATAGAAAACAGCCCCATAGTTCTTCCTGTACGAAATAACAAAGGCAAATCACAAAAAAAACATACAAACAAAATTAAACTGCTATTAACCTACAAATAAACCCTTTAAATAACCCAAAATTGTTATTTAATGTAATCTAAGAACAAATTTTAACAATAATCAAAGTAATGAAGATAAAGAATAAATAGCTCCAAATATTTCTTAAAGGAGACCAATTATGATGGGTCCAAGAAATATTTATGGTATGTCTGTGGGCTATCCAGACC